TTACTTCATTAATTACCAAATTACTTTGGTATGTTGTAGAGCTGAAGATGTAGTTTCTAAATTTCTATACTGCAACCCCTGCGGTTTTGTGCTCATGGCTGCGGTTCCATTTTTGTGACTGAGAAACGTTACACTAATATGTAAAACATACTGGGCGATCATCCAATCAGATTTAAAGCCCGCTATGCTGCGCAGGAGTGTAATTTCGAATTTCTGCCTATACTTGGGACAAAATAACACCGGCCACTTTTACGCGGTGTAAGCGTACAAATATGAAATTTCCTGAAGTCACAAAGATGAACAATTCAATAAAAAGGATAAAGAAGTTTCATGTAACGGTAATATGTTCATATTTATTGTCTATGAATGAATTTAAGTTTCGTATATATGATAATTTTGATTCTGTGCCTGCACACAGATCGCACAACAAGAAATAAGCATTATCTCAAATGACACAGCGTTTCTAATCGGACAATTTCAAATGAACTAAATTCCGAAATTCGTATAAATGCCTTCAAGGGATATCATATCGGCCGATTTTTTGACCCCAAAATTGACCAATGATCGAGGATTATCAAAAAAATTTACACGAAAATTTGATACAAGCGAATTTTCGCCAAAATGGCCCTTTTAATCAGCTTTGCATTTTTAATTAACTATGTAGAAATTTACAAAATTCATGTATTTATTTATAAGCCAAAGGTATGTTAAAAGGGCCGTAGAAAATTCTTCCGATTTCACTCTTTATAATTACTAATCATCGTAAAATACTTAAGTATTTTAACAAGCGGAAAAGAAGCTTCTTTCTATAGCTTAGCATTGCTGTTTTATTGATTTATTCTTCTTTTATCTTGTCTAGATGCCAAAGAAGCTCTTTTCTTATCTGTGACAAGATCTTTTGTTACTTTTTTTCAACGTCACTTAGGAGCAAATTTTGTGTAACAGCTGTCAAAAAAAAAGCCCCAAAAATCAAATCATACGATATAAATGATTGTATGTATACAGGCGTTAACTCGCTTCCGCTAATACCTAACGTTTTAGGATATTTTTATTTCATCACATGTAAATTTTTCGTAGCACTAAAATAGCTATTACACACTAGATTACAGATAGTTGAACAAGTAATTAATGATAAACTTCATAAATTTCGATCTTTATCAGTACAATAATTATTTTTTATAAATAAGCACCATTTCCGTGTACTTATTTTTCAAAATACGTAAAATGAATCGTCAACATCGTAATTTAGCTAGAACTTTACAAACTTTTGTATTTCATTGGATTCTTGTTAGTTTTGTTCTTTCATCTCTATATAACTTTACTGTTTATGGTCTGCAAAAATCACAATGTTCGAGTAGCAGAAATGATATGTCTGATTATCAGCACATATTTTCTTATGATGATCCATTCTTAACTAAAGGAGATGAACCTTTTACAACTGAACCTTTTACAACTGAACCTTTTACAACTGAAGTAGTCGATGATTCAATTCATATAAATATAATTGATAAAAACTTGTTATCTACCTTACAAACATTTTTAAGATCTGAAAATTTGTATGACGTGAATCCAAAGGTAATGATAATAAAAGAATTTATGTGTAAATTATATTCAATCTTGAATTTATATATTAATCAATTTTGTTTATTCAGATATCCGCTGATGAATTATTTTTGATCCTTCCGCAATTAAAAAATTATGTTGAACAAGATTTCTATCAAATTCATTCTCCGTTAAAAAGACTTGTCGATTGGTTGGAAAAAGGATTTGATTCGAGATTTTACCAATTAAATAATATGATTGACAATGTTAATATTTTTTGCAAATACTTGTGCATTTAATTGAAAATTTAACTAAATATCCAATTAGATATATAATAAATTTATTAAATAATTCTTTTACTTGTTTTTCTTAGCATGAAATTTCATTTAAATATTTGTGGTATTTGTTTCCAAGCGGTAAGCATTTATTATTTATTTTTAAATAATATTTTATTATATCAAGCCTATTCATGTTTCTTTTATTATTTAGGATCTCAAGTATATGCACAATTAAATGGAAAAGTATGTGGTTTACGAGTTAAAAAAAGTAAATATGAGACTTCTTATGGCACACAACAATTTGTTATTACTGGTGAAATTATTGATTCAAGTATATAATTTTTTTTATAACTGTATGCTTATATAATATTTAAATGCTAATAACTTATATATAAAAATGCGGTTTTGTTTATTAGACGGTCATGAATTTGTGTATAGTGATAAAACTTGGTATATTAGTCATTTTGTTGGTGTATTAAATATTACTAAACTTCCAGTAGTTCCTTTACAAAAAGAATGTGCAATACGTGATGAATTAGTAAAACGTGGTAAAAAATTCGAAATGTATGCCAATGGTCATCATTATCTTCAATATTCTGGAAATTTTTTTCACCAGTTTTGGTTTAGAAATACTTATTACAGAGGTGATGGACGTATAATGGTTGATGCTTCAACTTTTGGCAAAATCAAACCAAATTATGATATGGGTCTTTCAAATTTCAATCTTGAAAATTTTGGATATAATTTTAAATACAATTCTCAGCCTAAGCCATTTAATATGAGTGAAAACTCTTCAAAAAGAAAAGTTAAAGAGGAAGAGCTTTACATGTGTTCTCCTACATTTTTTGGCTTCAGCTTTACTGCTAAATTATGGGGTCAATTTTATGTTGATCAAGTGGATGGTAAGCTCCTTAAATTTACAGTACATATACTTGAAAGCATCACAACTAATGAGAAAAAATCATTTTTTTTAAAGAAATTAAATTTGATGATGATGCGTTTGATAATTTAATAATGGATACTAATAAGAAAGATATTATTATGAGTTTGGTAAAATCCGAACTTTCTGGAGGATTGGATTTCATCAGTGGTAAAGGTGGAGGCTGCATTTTCTTATTACATGGACCTCCTGGGGGTATATTTTATTTTTACTACTAAAACTTTTTTAAAATTTATTACACCATTAAAAGCTTAATTTGATGAATTAATTTAGTCGGTAAAACATTAACTGCTGAAGCTATTTCTGAATACCTGCACCGTCCATTATATGCAGTCAGTGTTGGCGAATTAGGTGTAACTCCTAAAGAATTAGAAAAGAAATTAAATGAAATTCTTGAAGTTGGAAGAGTTTGGAATGCTATCATTCTCATTGACGAAGGTTTGTGTGGTGTTACTCTGTCGCTATTAATGTTACCTTAAATATTAAATTTTAATGTTTTTCTTTATAGTTGATATTTTCTTGGAGCAAAGAAGTAAAAATGATGTAAACCGTAATGCTTTGGTGGGAATATTCCTTAGATTATTAGAATATCATCAAGGAATTCTATTTCTTACAACCAATCGCGGTATATATGATTATTATTATAATTATTTTTGTCTAAGTATCACTAGATCTTTCATTTACAGCAGTTTTATTCAATATATATAGTTAAAAGTTTTGATATGGCTTTTCATTCCGTAAGCTCCCTTCATTTTATAAAATTTTTGTTTTATATAATATTAATGCACAATATTTATACAGAGGATTAGTTTAATCTTAAAATATTACGACCTTGACGAATCAGCACGTGCCCAAATTTGGCGTGCTTTCTTGGATCGTGCCGATGGTAAAGATAAAAGTCAAGTTGATATCGATAAATTAAAACAACTACAATTTAATGGTAGGGAAATCAAATCTGCCGTTCGACTAGCAAAGGTATTGTAATTACATTATTGATATCCTAGCATTTGCCAAATTTCTGAGTCAGATGCAAATTTTATATCACTGGGAAGACAATATTTTCTAATTGAATTAATTAAATGTTGAAAATTATAACTCGAATCATATTCCTGTCTAGCTGATTATTTATTTCCGATAAGGTTATTAAAGCCAATTTCTATCTGGAATTGAATTTCCTACCCTTTTTTTTTAAACACCCTCAAAAAGAGGATGCCAACTTTTCCTAACCTTTTTTAACCTAGCTCCCTTTTTAATGTAGTTTCCTCTTAATATGTTACTCTCTTAACGCTGAATGTGTTATTAAAAGCGCATCATCTGAGATGCTTAATATTTTTATCTTATGAACATCTGACACTTATGAATATCATTAAATTTTCTTTCCCAGGCTCTCGCTACAATATCAGATCCTGACGCCATTATCACTGCGCAGCATTTAGAAAAAATCTTGAATATTTTCGCAGAGAATCTTGATTAAATACCCTGGATGATTAACTTATAAAGATTTTAGTGTATGAGCCTTGCTTATTTCAATAGTTTTAATTATAGAAAGTTTGAAATAATTTTCTCAAACAAAGTATTCAAAATTTCCAATTATAACAGGTATTTGAGATATTATGAGCTTTTATATATACTAATATACCTAGGTTGAATTATTATGTTAATGGCAATTATTATGTGTATGTAAATGCGTCTTTTTAAACGATTTTTATATGAGTACTACTTTTTTTTTTAAAAAAATGCATTATATATGTTATAAGTGAGAATATTTTGTAGTGCTTATTTTGTGTAAACCCTATATCCTAACCCTAATATATATATAAATATATAACCACTGAATAATATTTTGAAAGTAAAATTGTTCAGCTTATCAAAAAATCCTTAAGGTAATATTTTTCATAAGATTTTCATTGACAAATTTGCTCAGAATGCAAGATCTTGTCATTTAAAATCGCAGGAATTATGTTTTAACGAGAGCCAAATATGAAATTAAGCTTAATACATTAATAGATACAATTTGCATATTTGTATTCATTTATTCACATTGGTTTTATTTAAATTAATGGATATTCATTATTCCATTGATTTCTAATTTATTTAGTTGTGAATATTTACTATTGTACAGCTTTATTTGTTTAATGGATAATAGAATTTAAGTATATTAGACATTTGAAATTTAGTTAAAAAAGTTTATAATTATTTACTTTTATTTTTCATTTTAAACTCTGAGATAGCAATTATTTGGGAATGTTACATGATGTAGTTTATTATTACTCTATAAAATAAATAATCTATTTACTTAGCCTTAACTATTACAATCCCAAGAATTTTTCTCTTTTTACTTGCTAGTCACAGGTTGTATCAATGAATATAGAGTATATACTGGGAGACAAGTTTCCTGATATGTACCCGATAGTCTGCCATAGATCCCAATTTCCTGCTGTATACGTATCAGCAGCATACTGACAGCATATTGGTAAGATATAAGGAGATATATCGATATTGGTATGATAACAGCACAATATTGGAATATCCTAATATCTTCTCTTAGCACTCTGGGCATAAGGGTAAGATATCGGGAATTTGAATTAACTTATTACTAGTAACAATCTATTAGTAAAAATAAAAAGAAGTTTAATAAACAAAGACTAGATTGAAAAATAAAGGCTTATTATCACAAACAATAAATTAAAGAAATGGCCAAATAATAAAAAATCTTACTTTATAACCTAGAAAAGGCTCAAAGGAAAAGTTGTGAATGATCTGGAAAATTGGTTTTAGAACTCAAAAGATCTAGAAATTATAAATATTAAGTATAATAAATATATTGTCATAACTATAACAGAATTTTTTAAAAAAATTTAGCAACTTCTGATTTAACACAATATCAACAAATAGTAAAAAGAATAATCACTAGTCATGGATTCATTTGTGATAGGTGCTAAACTAGAAAAAAGATATTTTTAAAAAATAATCTACAGGGCTCTACCTGTGAGATATAAATTAGCACACATATTATAAAAAAACTCCCTAGTGCCCAAAACATATACAAACAATTAAACACCTAATTCTAGAATGCAGAATTAGCAAAAGGCTATAAGAAATGGCATATAATTAGCTTGAACTTCTTTAAAACCAAGACCTCCAACAACTATAAAAGAAGTAGTAAGTGCTAATAATATATAAGAAAAAGATAGCACAGGTTCGTGGTCTTGTTTTATTTTAATACAGTATATAAAATTTGGAGTTTATACGCAAGTATAAAATACAATTTTTAGAACTAGCTATTGAGACAATTGGAAAAGTAAAAATTTAAAAGAAATTTATATGCAGTATGATAGAATAAAAATGAGTAAAGGGAAATAAATCAATTTAAAATTATTGCAAATAATTTGTAAATCGAGTTAAAAATATATTTACTATATAATATATTATATATGATATCGTTTTACTAATAAAGAACATTTTATAATATTCTCTGATAATCATGTCGAAAGGTTAAATAAAAAAATAAACAATATTAGTATTACATACCACACGATTTGATCGGTTGTTCAGCCAATAAAATTATGAGAGATCAATAAATAAAAGATCGCTGCTGAAGGAACCCCTATTAATGGAGAAAAGGGAAATTATTTAGGATATTACAATGTTGGCTATTTTTATTATGCTAGCATTGGAACTTTACCAGAAGCTTTTGAGTATTATATAAAATCTGTAGAAGGTATAATTTGTAAAGTCTTGGATGTTGTTATCGTGATGGAATAGGCGCTCATGCTATTAAAAAGCTAGCATTTGAATGGTGCGGTGTTTGAAATTTGCAGAAGGAAAAATTTGTAAAGGACAAAATTACCCTGGTTGCTATTAATAATATGGCAAAGAAACTTCCATAGATGAAAAGAAGGCTTTCGAATAGTATTTTAGTCTGCAGAAGGAGGAGATAGTTGGGACAAATCATCTTAGTTATTGTTATCGCTTTGGTGTAGAAACCTCTATAAATGAAATGAATGGTATCCATAGGGAAGATAAAATTTAGGCAAACCGATTTTGGTCTAGAGTTAATACCTCTATCCGGATATATAAATCCGGATAGAGGTATTAACTCTATTTTGGTCATTGTTATCAGCATGGCATAGGAACTTCATAGATAAAAAGAAGACCTTGAATACTTTTTAAACAGTAGGAAAAACGGAGTTGAAAAAAGCTTATTAAATGTTGTTAAAAAAAGTTATAGGTGCTTCTTTAGATTATGAAAAGGCTCAAGAATGGCTGAATAAATAAGAAATATAAGCTTTAATTGTACGAAATTGAACAATATATCAATGAAATAGAAATCTTATTATGGTGTCATTACAGCTGGTAGATTCCGATCAGAATAATTAAAATTTACTTTTGGAGTTATGTCACGTTTTTTTGCAAGCAATGTAAGCCGAATAACAGAGAAAATTTAATAACATCGATATACTAAATTCAGAAATAAAGTTATTAACTGTTTGCTTCAATCCTCGATTTAAATATTTAACAAGACGTTGAAGTATTTATTGTAATCTGCTATATATGTACTGTACAGTACTGTACATATATAATTTCTAGGAAATTGGAAACATTCAAAGTCTGAAGGTCCAAATATCGATTTTTTATATTAAATTTGATTTAGCCAATAAACATTGGATAAAAAAAATCGAATGTTGGTTTGATTTGTTACATCTGATCTAGCCAATTAAAATTCAGAATTTGTTAACACGTACAGTACTCTATTGTTCCGTTCCGACAATTATTAAGTTATTATTATTATCATGCTGTAACATAATAGCCTCTATATGAGTGCTGCTAATTCAAAGCCTGGACTTATCCTCTATAAAATGAAAAAAAGTTAACATCAATTCATATGTACAAGAGCTGTTCTTCTGCTTCGGAAACAAAATACATTTAAAGTTGCGTGAAGTTGACCAACTTTTAAAAAAATCTCCTTCGTATTACTCTTTATCTGTTATGATGTATATTGGAAGCAGGGGTAAAGAAGAAAAATACAATTTATTAAACTAATGTTATGAATTAAAGTTCATTTCGTTATTTTTCACAAACATTTATTGTCATAGTTATGCTAATAAAGCAATTGAAGAAAAAGTATCTACACATTAGGTTGAAATTTATTAAGTACTCCTTAGTATGACAATACAAAATAGAAAAAGACCTAAATTTAGATAGTTCCTTGAAAAGTTTCAAATATTTCACAATGCTGTTATGTTAATTAAATTACCATTCGAATATGACCTTTAATGTTTTGGGTTACAAAAGACGTAAAAAATAACTACTATGAAACGATAATAACACTATTCATTTATGTAATATCGTTTTTCCAAGTTAAATCAAATATATTATAATTTTAAACGTTTACTTACAGGTTTAAACTTGACGACACTATAAACCGTATACGTATCGTAAATTGTAATACCGAGAACGAAAATTGGCAAAGTGTATGATTATATGACAATTGAAATGGCATTTGTTCACAAAATCTTGCACCTATTTAAATAACATATATCGAATAAGAATTTAATTCACATCCATCTATACCTTTGCATGTTACAACTTCAATGGGTTTGCGTAATACGTACGTACGTACTGTACGTAAAATTTGAGTGATACAAAACCTAAAAGGTATTTAGTAAAGTGTTGTATATTTTGATTAAAGTATTTATCTTAAGAGAATTTGAAACCAAAATAAATATTACTTATTATAAATTATGAATTAACGAAGGTTTTGAATGTAAGCATTTTTATCTAGAGCATAAAACACCAACTACTTTGCTAGTTTTTGAGATAAATTAAACAATGTTAATGCAAGTTAAAAAAAAAAACTTGTTATAGAAATTATATTTAAAAATAAAGTTCGTCTTTTATTTAAAATGTGCATATATGACATTCATTTAAAATTGAAGAAAATAAATAACCAAAATTTCTGACTTCCGTCAAATATAAAAAAATAATAATTATAAAGTTCGAATGTTTGTATAACTAGATTTGTATTTAATAGAATATTTATACTTCAAAAATAAACCAAAATTTAAAATAGTTATTTGTGCTTCATTAATAAACTCACATCGAAGGCACCAAGATTACAATAAAAAAAAAAAAATTAATGTGACATTCTTAGAAAGAGTCTCTGCTAATGCTTTTATCTCCTAAAACAGAGGTTATCATTTCTAAGATTCAAAGAAACCAGAGTGATCTTCTTGCAAAGAACCTCTGCGGACGCTTTAAAAGTAAAAGCATTAGCAGAGGCTCTTTGCAAGAACATCACTCTAAACTCTTGGAATCTTAGTAATTGTCAAATTGGTTCTAAGGGTAAAAAGATTTTGGTGGAAAATTTTTGTAAAGACATTGTCTTGGTTTCTTTAAACTTTTGTTGTAATAAAAGATGTCCTTGTACTTTTTGTAAGGTGCGAATAAAATATTGATACCCTATCCCAAAAC